TCCGTCGATTGAAGGTAGGCAACGTGTATGCAATTGAGTATGTATGTCTATGGGCAACGGTCACTTCGCTATTTCAGCGATTTCAGGTGGCCGCTCGCTCGTTTGCCACCTTATGGTATCAAAAAATAAGCCTATTTATATCTAAAACATTACGTAATAAGCTTTAAAAACCGTTCTTTATATTAATAAGCTTTTAGCTAATCATGATGAGTCATTTCTTAGACGTTATTACAGTGACAGGCTTTAAGAGAAGTCATTGTTCGGCTGAAAACTTTTACTTATAAAAGGCAATGCAGGTAAAAGCTATTTAATAAAAGACGCTAGCGACCTCTTTTGTTACTAAGAAAGAATATTAAGTGCAACACAACGCCTGCTGTCTTATAAGAAAAAAATCCTATAGACGCCTTGCACAAATACTAAAGACTTTGTTTTAAATTAACTCAGATTTTTCTCTATTGTAATATAGCTGTCGCCTTCGATTCCGTCTGCGTGGATTTGAAATTTATTGGCGGCCTATGTTCTTCCATTTTCCGTTCCGTTCCACGTTCTTCCAGACTATGTTTATATGTATGCCAATCATCAATCCGTTCAGCCGTTGTGGAGATAACTTCAAACAAATATCCATTCATCAAAACATTCGCATTTATAATAGTGGTAAGATAAACAATACCTTAAGTATATTAATTTTAATTTTGTGTGCTTGTCTACAATCTTCCTTGATTCCAACTGTGAGAATTTTTATTAAAATTCTAATATGTTAAATAGTAATAAATTCATAACCTTTTAATTATTCTTGGTGTAATAAGCATATTTTTCTAAAGCTTCCTTTAAAGCAAGTCTTTAATACGCAAATAAAAATAAACTATGAGAAAGCAATTGCTATTATGTTGAATCTTTGAGCATAAATTAATGCTTACATTAATTTAATTTAATAATATTTTCTAGCGCAGTTTAACGATATTCTTATTATCAATCTTACTAATGTTATAAATGTTTAGATGGATGTTTGTTTGTTTGAAGATATCTCTAAAAGGCTGCATGGATCTCGCTGATTTGGCATAGATGTAGAACATAGTCTGGAGGTATACGTAGGCTACCAACTAAGTTTTTTTTAAATTCCGCGGTGGAGTCGCGGGCGACAGCTAGTTGAAGTATCAATAGGTATCAAACGAGCAGTGCGACTCTTAACGAAAAGCGGTTACCGATGCCCATGGACGTTACACGCGGAAACGACGACATGTGACATAGTGTAAAATTGTAGGTTACATTGGGGACGAACGGCCTAAGAGAAACCTTTCTAAGACGATTAAAGAAGTTGATTTATGAAAAAATCTTTCATGTATTATTGACTTAAAAAAATCCCACAGGCCCCGGCGAGATTCGAACTCGCGATCTCCTGTTTACTAGACAGGCGCTTTAACCAACTAAGCCACGGCGCCTTGCGCTGCAGTCGCGAAATTATACAACAAAAGTAATCATGATAAAAAATGTTTTTAGTTTAATAGTTTAGGTTATATTTAACTTGACCTTTTTGTTGTTTATTTTAGAACTAAACGCATATTTTACTAAGTTTATTAAAGGCGATTCCCTAAAAAAGTCATTGTCATATGATGGATGGACGGATGGATGTTTTTGAAGGTATCTCCGGAACGGCTCTACGGATTTCGCTGAAATTTGGCATAGATGTAGAACATGGTCTGGAGGAACATATAGTATACTTATTAAGTTTTTTAATTCCTTGCGGACAGAGACGCGGGCAACTGCTAGTATTTTAATAAAACATTCAACAATATAAAGCTATGAAAGATATTCTCTTCATTGAACTTTAAAAGTTTTATGGATTTCATTCGTTTCTTAAAGTCGGAGTTTATAAGTGGAAGAAACCGATTATTTTTACGACGCCACGTCTAGACATTAGTAGCTCTATGCTAACTGCATGCTGTCATAAAAAGTCGCGTGTATATATTTTATACATAATTATATTCCTCCATCTGTATAATAGTAATACCTTGACTTTTATAATAAGGTCAAAGAATTCTAAATATACTAGCTGTCGCCCTCGACTACGTTCGTGCGGTATTAACTTAATTAGTGCCTTCGTGTTCTTCCAGACTATGTTTATGCCAAATTTCTGCAAGATCCATACAGCCGTTCTGGAGATACCTTCAAACAAATATACATCAATCCATCCATCCAAATATTCGGATTTATAATATTAATTGATGAAGTACCCAAGAAGGGCGATTTTAAGAGCACCCGAAACTGACGTGCCAAGAAAGGTGTGTTAGGACCGTGCCAAATGAAGTACCGGGGTCTCTACCTACCATTCTGGGTTACGGAATATTTGGGCGATTCAAGTAACCGCTTGCCACCTTTTTCTATAAAAATTAAGGTTATTTTGGTTAGCAAAAAACTTTTTCGAAGAATAGTCGACATTCGACGTTCAGAATTGTTTCAAATTCCGTTCCCTCGAGCGCTTTTCAGTAATTTTCACAATTGAAACGTTTTCCACTGGAAACGTACGTCCGGTTAATTTTGTGAGTTGTTTGCCCCTTTTTGTTCTTTGTACGTACTCATAAGAATTGTTCTAATCTATATTTACTGCCTGGTTTAATAAGAAAACGTAACATCTAGTACAAAAGTGAATCGGTTTTGATGCGAAATTTTATTATAACCGATTTCAAAAATGAGTTTCTCAATTTGTCTGTATGTTTTTTTTATCTAAAAATGTTGTAGTCTTCTTATACAAAACTGAATGTATATATAAAAAAAAGTCGTGTTAGTTACACTATTTATAACTCAAGAACGGCTTTATATATTTTTTTATATATTCAAGCGGACGGAGTCGGAGGCGACAGCTAGTTTTATATATAAAATTCTCGTGTCACAATTTTCGTTCCCATACTCCTCCGAAACGGCTTGACCGATTCTCGTGAAATTTTGTAAGCATATTAAGTAGGTCCGAGAATCGGCCAACATCTATTTTTAATCCCGCGCGGACGGAGTCGCGGGCGACAGCTAGTCTAATATAAAAACAGTATTGTGTATAAAGTTCTGACACATTTATAATTGTTAATTGGTCACTTAGGGTCACCCTCAATATTGATTTCTCCTACTAAAGATGTGAGAATGTTTAAAATGATACGAAATTGCTTTGGTACAAACTGTTAAGTATTTAGTGTTTAATTTATTGAGACAAATTTTCAATATAATGGTTACTTCGTAAGACATTGACTTGTCTAGACTTTGTAACTTTCGATAATCACTTTTTGAAACTTAAAGACATTCATAGACTTGTTTCAAAACGTTAATAACGAATAAACTACGAAGACTACAAGCTTGTTGCACTAAGACTTAACTATTAGTTTCTATGACAGAAATTTATTAATTTAGAAATATCATACTTCTTACTAATATTATAAATGCGAATGTTTGGATGGATGGATGTTAGAAAGCATCTCCAGAACAGCTGCATGGATCTCACTTAAATTTGGCATAGATAACATAGTCTGGAAGAACACATAAGCTTATAAAATTTGCTTTTAATTCCACGCGGACGCAATCGCGGGCGACAACTAGTATATTATACGTATTAAAAACAAGTCTGCTTTTTGTATTTTGTATTGTAAAAACCTTGCGTGATATTGAAATAAGATTCTTTTATTTTTGAAGGTTATATATATATCTATTTTGACTATTTATTATTTAAACTGATTTATACCTGGCAACACTCTGTAAATATAATGTTGATTTTAAGATGTTTAAGGAAAATGGTAACCTATAAATTATGCAGTTACTTAATTTTAAATAGCTAATAGTTTATTTCTGAGACTTAAATTCTTTTAAAAGAATATTTTATCTCTATTTTGTCAAAATTAATGAAAGGGACAACGATATGTTTCAAACAGGGATCTTTGCTTCAGAAACCAACATTTAGATTATAGAGATTTTAGCTCAGTGTTTACGCACATGACTTGTAATCTGCAGGTCCTGGTTTCGAATCCCGCCATGTGTTTTTCGATTTACACATGTACATTTATCCGACGTTCTTACGGTGAAGGAAAACATCGTGATGCAACCTGCACATACCTGAGAAGAACTTCAAAAGATATGTGTGAAGTCGACCAACCCGCACTGTCCCAGCGTGGTTGACTATGGCCTCGTCAACCCTTACTTAGGGTAGGCTCCGACCACTTCGGTGGGGATCTATAATGAGCTGATGATGAACCAACATTAAGAGACGTAAGAATTTTTAAAGTTATTCAAAATAACGTTGGTACATACTGTAAGTATTTACGTTTTCAGCTCATGTGTCTTGATAAACCAGTACCCTTCCCACATCCCTCGCGGCCCCTCCTCCATAGGCAGCACGGTGGCGTACAATTGTCCACCTCCGGCGCCTCCACCGGTTGGGCCCGGCTAGCGCGCTAGACCTGTCGAGACCCCGTCGACTAGTCCTGCGCGCACCGCCAGGCCCTAGTGTTTGGTTCGCGGGGCTTAAGCCCTACCCCGACACGAATGCCGGGGCGTTCCCCTATCCACCACCCGGGGACGCGCCACGTCGGAGTTCACCTCTCCGCCTACTCGGACAACCGAGCAGGTCCGTGGAGATAACCATGTCCTAGCACAAGCGTCCAGCTTATTTGGAATGGTAACAACTAATGTGTTAAAATATTTCTGAAATTTGTACTTTTATTTTTAAACTGAAACTGTTATGTAATATATTTATTATTATTATTTTAAAATATCACTTTAATCTTTTTTTAATTATTAAAATTAACTGTCAAATACGCAATGTATTTTCAACAAAATCGATGTTATTAATCGAGTAATTCCGGTTCTACTATGCAAATAAGAATAGAGGATAAACCTGTTTGTTGAGATAACTTTACGAATTGCGAATTTGACCTTTCTTCTATAGATATGAAGACTTCTTATATGTTCAAATTGTATTTCGCGTTTGGTTGTGAAGGAAATATGTTTAAAAAGACAGATGTTATATAATAAAAAATAATTATAAATTAATTGATTATTATTAAAAAATTAAATTGTAAAATTTAATTTAACATGTGTTTACATTTTGTTTATTTTTTAAGTGTTTATGAATTGTAGTAGCGCGTAGTTTACGTAAAAATCTTAGTATTGTTTCATTCTAGTTTGAACAATGTTAGCTGTAATAACGTTTGTGTTTGTTTTTTGTACTTCAAACGCGTATGTTGTTCGACACGAGCCTATATTACTTGGGACAGATTTAGTTTTAACATTTTTGGTAAGTGAATTTAGTACGCTTATAAAGTATTTATTAAAATTATGGCTAATCTAAAAATTTAGTTCATTGAACTGGTAATTCGTATAAATTAATTTGGAAAATGTTCGCAATACATATTTAAACACTTTTTATCTTATATAATATTCTCGTGTCACAATTTTCGTTCACATACTCCTCCGAAACGGCTTGACCGATTCTCATGAAATTTTGTCAGCATATTGAGTAGGTCTGAGAATCGGCCAACATCTATTTTTCATCTCCCTAAATTTTAAGGGTAGTCCACCCCTAAATTTTATTTTTTATTTGTTAGACAAACACACGGACGAAGTCGCGGGCGACAGCTAGTTATTTATATAAGTAAATAACTAATTACATTAAATTCTTTGTTATTTATTTGTCGTGGGTTTAAAGTTCTCATATTAATAAATTTTATTTGCATACTTATGTTCAATTATAAAGATTTACACAAATGTAAATTTTATTATTTTAGAATTGGAATATGTGGGTTTACACTGTCGAAACGTGCGTATAAATATAACATTATTAACTTGTATCTGTATTTCAATGTATTACCACAGGTTCACAGACATGGAGACAGAACACCAGTACCTCAATACGTGAACTTCAGTGACCAACGGGAACAGCTCAAGGAATTAACCAAACCCATCGGATATGGACAGCTGACTGATGTAAGTTGATATCTTTTTTAACAAGGCATTTTTTGTAAGTGGAACACCGCGAATGGCCCTGACTGTACATATAGTAATATTATATTCATTAGTGAAGAAACGAAACTCAAGCTTTAAGAATAATCCTCTCCTGCCTCTGCAAGGTTAACACGGCCGAACAAGGATGGTCTTTGATATACTTTTCTCAAAATATTCACACTGATTCTATTATCATCAATGCAATCAAAATATGATTTCCGTACATCATCATCATCAGCTCACTATATGTCCCCACCGAGGGGCTCGGAGCCTACCTTAAGTTAAGGGTGATTAGGCCGCAGTCAACCACGCTGGCCAAGTGCGGGTTGGTTGACTTCACACATGTCTTCGAATTTCTTCTCAGATATGTGCAGATTGCATCACCGTAAGAACGTCGGATAAATGTACTTATGTAAATCGTAGACCGAAAAACACATTGGTACATGGCGGGATTCTGACCCAGGACCTGCAGATTGCAAGTCAAGTGCTTGACCACTGAGCCACCGACGCTCAATTTCCATACGATATTTTGTAATGATTATTGAGGGGTTTGTCGTTTAGTGGAAATATGGTTTAAAATGAATCATAGTAGTTATAAGTTATGCAGACACTCGAGAAAACCGGCTTCATATCTAACAGGACGTGACGATTTTGTTAAATAAAATTTTAAATTCGAATTGAATGCATCGTGCTCGAAAAACTGTTAAAAGTTTGAAATGAATAGAGCTGCCTGATTGATAGTTTTGTTTATAGTTTGAGTGTGAATTTCAATTGAGTCAAACACTTCAAGTGTAAACTATTTTGGGATGGTTTTATGCAATAATGAAAGCAATTGTTTTAAATTTGGAAGCTTTCTGCAGCCAAAATCTCTACTCAATGGATGGAACTACGAAAATACTGGCTAATATAATATAGAAACAATTAAGAAGATTAGATTAGATTAGATCACCAAAACTCACGAACTTCAAAACACATTTTATTCTTCGTGCATTTTTTTTCTTTTAAGGCTGGAAAGCGTCGAGCATACGAGCTTGGGAACTTCATACGTGCTCGATATGGCGAATTCCTATCACCTCAGTACAACCGCTCCGAGATTTACCTTCGCTCCACTGACTCCACGCGCGCCAAGATGACGATTCTCGTAGAGATGGCGGGCGCGTACTCCGCGAGCAACCATGGCTGGAGTGACGACATCAATTGGGTCCCGGTACCTTATACTACGATGCCGTTGCAGTATGATTTTGTAAGTAATGAATTAATCAAATGTTTCGAATTCTGTATAGTTCTTTTCAAATATCTTAGCGGCTCATCGGCGCCTCATCACCTTAAGTTGTGTTCTGCGCAGCGACTCCCGAAAAATTAAAAGCCTCCAAGATATCTGAAAACTTCTATACTATCTTAAAGTATTGATGAGTCTTTTTGATTTACGAATTATTAAGAGCTCATGATGATAAAAGCTATGATAATTGAAGTAGAGGATTGTTCTTCATACTAACGTAGTAAATTAATCAAGTAGGAATAATCTTTACTTCTAAATCTCCTTTTTTCAGCTCAGCAAATAGCAATTATGTTCAGTATAGGTACAGCTGCGGTGTATCCTGTGTCCCAATATCGTGCCATCTCTTTTCAGGTAATGGGAATGAATTGCCCAAAATTTATGGATCATTTTGATAAAATTGCTAGAAGTCGTGTACCAGAAATGCAGAAACACAGCAGTGTTATAGAACGTCTCTCATCAGTTCTGAAGATTGATTTAAGAAATACACCAGTACAGACTTATTTTGCATACGATGTTTTTGTAAGTCAGGTAAGATCTGATGAATTTTATAAGTATACTAGCGGACCCGACAGACGTTGTTCTGTCTACACGTCTTTAATTCGAATATTATTTACTAATATATACTAATAAATTAAAAATTAATTAAAAAAACATTGTCCAGCGGACAAAATTGTGAATCTAAACCATTCCCAGATCCCCTTGAACACACACAAAAAATTTCATCAAAATCGGTCCAGTCGTTTGAGAGAAGTTCAGTAACATACACACTCACAGATGAATTATATACAAAAAGATGTCGCCCGCGACTCCCTCCGCACCGTAATAAAAAAAACTTAATTAGTAGCCTATATATTTTAATTAAAAACCTATCAGATTTTTTTTTATTTTAATAATATTTCTTGTACCAACTAAGCTCTATACAAGGATATGGTTTACGACAATAGTCGAATGGTGGGTTTCGAACTCTAGACCTTATGATCGGAAACCCATATTGGCGCTTCGACTATGTTCTACTCCTACATCTATGCCAAATTTCATCGAGATCCATTGAGCCGTTCATTAGTAAGATAATATGATGAAGCCAACGCGTATACCATAGACCGAATAACTAAAGACTTATTCTAGAAGGGTTATTGAATTAAAATCTTAATTTGTTCGTTTATATTTTACTTAATTTTCAGATAAACATGGGACTTCCAGTTACACCATCTATCAAAGAAATGATGCCTGAAATCAAAATGGCGGCGGACACAGCGTTTGATCTTCTATTTGGAAATCAAACTATGTTGCCTTTACAAGCTGGTTAGTACCTCTACTTACTCCTTCTACTAATTGATGTCTATTTCATTCACTCATTCGTTCGTTCGTTCGTTCCTTGATTTGTTCATTCGTTCATCGTTGTTTCAGTTCTTTGAGCAGATGTGTCGTTTATTTTCGTTTCAATGTGTATTACAATTCAAAGTAAACACAATAAATAGAAAGCTATTACTTTTATTGCTCTATTGTGTATTTTGAAAGAGAATTAATTTCTATATTTTCTTTTCTATCATAAATAATGTATAAGCTTTATGCTAACAATTCATATTCCAATTTTATTAAGCGTAAATATTTCTATGATTATACTCAATAAAACCTTTATTACTTTAGTGTTATTAGAATTTTAGTTTCCATCATTTCTGCTAAACGTGTTATATATTACTTCTTACTAATATTATAAATGCGAATGTTTAGATGGATGTTTGTTAGAAGGTATCTCCAGAAGGGCTGAACGGATCTTGCTGAAATTTGGCATAGATGTAGAACATAGTCTGGAAGAATACATAGCCTAATTGTTACGTTTGTTTTTAATTCCGCATGGACGGAATTGCAGGCGACAGCTATTTGTTCATAATTTTCAAGAAAATCATACTGTCATCCATACAACATGATCAAATGATAGGTTATCTTCTTGTTTAAAAACAGACATTAACATTCTTTGACTTTTAAAATTAATGCACACATTTGTGCGTGTATCATTCATAGCGATATTTTTGACTCGTTTACGTACCGACACGTGCTGTTGGTCCAAAGGTCTGACATCGACTGACGCCACCTCTCTCCGGCATGTACTTATGACGTTTGCGGTCGAGACGAACAACACTACATTTATGCTACAGTGTGTAAAATTCTAACACCTTCATTTACTCTGCCATACTCAGGTCTTCTCTTAAAGGAGTTCTTCGAAGTATCCTATGCAACAATAGCTGGTGAGCCATCGCCGAAAGTAAGGATATATTCAGGTCATGACGTCAATGTGTATGCATTGGAGGCAATTTCGAGAGTAATGCCTCAAGGAGCACCACCATATGCAGCACTGTTCGCGCTGGAGTTGAGGAAAGTTCGAAAAACTGGAAGATATGTGGTCCTAGTGAGTAGATAGCTGAATAATTTTAAAACCAAACAACATAACTAAATGTCTGTACCCTTATTATCCAAGGAAGAAAACTAGCTCCAGAAAAATATCTCTGCTGTAAAAAATTAAAGGGAATGTACAAAATTGTGTACCAAAAACATTATCTTGGCATTTTGGTAACACGTTTCTTGATGTGAACCATTTAAAAATAAAGTTTTAAAACTCAAGAACAATTTCCAAAGACAACAAAAGTGTTCTTAAAACGTTACTAAAAGACTTTACACCCTTTTATGTTTACTTTGTCATTATCGTGGTTTGTGTTGGTGTTACTTTCAGTTCCCTTAATTGTTTCGACATTTCGTTCGTCTATCTTTGTGTCGTTCGACATTTTATTCATTGTTTCAATATTTCGGATTGACATTTCTTTCATTGTTACCAACAATCTTTTAATAAGAATTTTTATCTCTATTATTTTAAAGAGCATAAAAGAGATGACAATGTTTACAAATGATTCGACAATAAAAACACATTGTAAAAATGCAATACTAGTGTATAAAATACAAACTGTTTACTGTAACTATTAAGGAACCAAAACAATGGAAGAAATCAGTGCATTGGATAAAGTCGACTCACGTCCTACAAACTTCACAGAAGCGAACGGATTTACACTTTTGTTGGCACGTCCCTGAAGACTTGAATTCATTCTTGTTAGAAAAATTAAAGCAAAACGAAATCCTCCGAGTAACTACTAATAATTGGCTTTCATTGTTAACTGAACTTTATCTTTTAATCTCTACCATTCCAGTAATTAAAGTCAAAAGCTTAATGGTTAAGGTTACGGGTTTCCGACCACGACGTTGAGGGTTCAAATCCCGCCATTCGACTATTGTTGTAAACCATGTCCTACCACAAGCAAAGATCTTAGTTGGAATGGTACAAGAAATATTAGTAAATTAACAAAAATGAGATTTCTAAGAAATCTATACTTAATATTATAAACCGGAAGATTTTGTTTGTTTAAACGCGCTAATCTTAGGAACTACTGGTCCGATTTGAAAAATTCGTTTTTTGTTGGATAGTCCATTTATAGAGGAAGGCGTTAGGCTATATAACATTACGCTCCGACCAATAGTATTTTTTAATTCCGCGCGGACGGCGTCGCGGGTGACATCTAGTAATAAAATCATCCTAAATCAATAAACACGACATGCGAGATAGCTACATTACGACAAGGATGTTGAACTTTTTTGACAATAACAGGGTGGTTTTTAGTCTTAGTTTCCCATTTTCCTACCAGAACAGAAACGTTTTTAAATTGGTTTCTTAATTATTTTTCTGTATTATAACCGGAGTTATACATGTTACTATATTTCTTTTTCCAGCCAGTATACGTAAGTTCTCCTGGTGAACCAGTTCAATACTTGCAAGTGAAGGGCTGTGATCTGCTCTGTGATTTGGATAGATTCTATGAGATCACATCACCTGACCTGATAGACATCGATGATTGGAAATCACGCTGCAACTACGATATGAATGCAAAATTTAACACAAATGGTTTTGAATGATACTGTGATTGTAAAATAATTGATTTATATTATCTGAATTAAATATTGAAGCTATCTATCTCGTTTTACTTGTAAGTACCTGGATGATGAGCTTTGCTCGGTTTTTTTAAATTGTGTTTTTGGAAATTATATTATATTTAAGTACGAAATACTAGTAAAATTATGAAATATGAATAATATTTTTCGATCTTACCAATAGAAAAATTTAACTTTATGTTTATGTTGATTATCGATAAAACACGAATAAAATGATATTTTATAAAAATGATTCCTAGCTAGATCGATTTATCGCCACCGAAACCCCAAAATTTTATGAAAATCGTTGTAGCCGATTCCGAGATTCCAATTATATATATTATATATACAAGAATTGCTCATTTAAAGATATAAGATAAGATATTTAACTGGTGGTTCTGGCACAATAATCTAAATCTTAATCCTTTTAAAAAGTGCTTTTTCTTTTTCTTCATTTCTTCATAGTCATACGAACCTTCATTGATTTTGGTTCGAGCAATTTCACCTCGGACTGCTTTCCTTTACTTATGGTCAATTAAATTTTAAACAATGACTGCGCTACTAGTTTGTTTTGCAATCTATATAAAAAGTGTCTACATTATTGATTCGAATCAACAACACCGCTACGAACCGCTACCATCAGCGACAAAATGGCGAGAATCAAATAGGCACAAAATACTAGGTCTTATAGCCAGTCTATTTAGAGGTCAGTGTGTTTTACTTAAGATCTTTGGTAGTAGAAGAGCACAGCAACAATTACAGCCACACAGATGTCAGACGTGTTCTAATTCCTGACAGTCGCCGGATATCCGCGGCCCGCTCACATAAATTATGCAGTAGACTAAGTATTCAGAGCTGAAAGGCTTTTTCGGTAATTTTGTGTACATTCCACAGATCGCACACATTCTTATATTATTTATCTATAGCGGTTACCCGCGACTTTGTCACCGACGAATTACAAAAGTCTAGCCTAGCCTAATATGCTCGCGTGCTTCAGTTATCTTCCTGTCAAATCGGACCACTCGTTGCGGAGATTACCCGGAACAAACGCGGTCTTGCGGACAGACATACAGACCTACAGCAACGTAATTATATCAATTGTCTGAAATACGATTTTTTATCGATATTACATACAGACACTCTAATTTTATTATGTATAAATATGTGTTATAAGAATAAACTCAGTTTACTTTATAACAAAGACTAATGAATCTATGTAGGTTACTAGTTAAGTCGGACTGCAGACGTACCCTCGAGGCTTGAACACAAGAAAATCAGCGTCTGCATCAGAAAACTGTGCTGCATCGTACGTGACGGGAATAATATCTCAAATCGTGGATTACTGAGATCAAAATCTCTGTATAAAACATATCGTTATCCTTGTTATTATATTTAACAAAACAGAGATCTTTTGTTTTAAATGGAGATCGGTCTCAGAAACCCACGGTGACTTTATTTACTAGTTACTTGACCATTTACAAACGAGCAAACGGCCACCTTAGTACACCAAAGTGGCGAAGCCATCGCTGCCCATAGATATCCAAAAATCCAAATGCGTTTAATCGAGGGAGGAGGAGACGTATAGAAAAATAGAAATAGAAATAAACCTTTTATTGTTAATCACTCGACGAAGTTTAGCGCATTAGCTTAAGCAAATTTCATTCAACAATTTAACACTGTTTCTAGTTCGATCGATATCCTCTCAAAGTTCTCTGTAAAGGAAATATCGTTTCAACGACTTTACAAGCTTTAACTTGGTAATCGGATCCTGTCACGTAATTAGCAAAGCGCTTTCCGTTCACTGGATGGTTTGGAGCTAAAGCTTTTGATGTTCTAAACCTAGGTATTAAAAAATCGTTAAGATATAAAGTTCCTTATGTAGACGTAGGATTTTGTACCTTTTTGATTTTTTACGGAGCTGATGGCAACGGTTTGTAGTGATGGGGATTCGAACTAATGATATAGTTGAAATGTACTGTCATGTAATCAGCTTTTAAATCGGAACTAAGCAAAACCTTTCATTTGCGTACCATAAAGAGCGTACACCTCCCTCAAAGGTCGGCAACGCATTTGCGGTTCCTCTGGCGTTGCGGATGTCCATGGGCGTCGGATCAAATAATTTTAGGCGATTCGTTGCTCGTTTGTCCACTTCTCCTATAAAAAAATCCAAGTACTCTCCTATCTATTTATAAAGATTAGTAAACTTCGCAGCTGAACTCGATTTGTGCAGAGTTTTTTCGTATAAAGCTGTGAGCTGCGAGTCACGGAGTATGAGATGACTCATGACGCAACTCACACTCTCAAGTCACGAGTCGTTGGCTCGCATTGATATAATAGATCGTGTTGAGCCGTGAGCTGTCAATTTAATGGTTGAACTGTAGCTAAATAACATCTATATGAACTTTTAAGCCGGTTTAATTCAGAACATTTACACACGTTTACATTTAACATTCTGAAATCGACTGTTGCGTTCGTCTCGCGCTTTACGATACCGATCACAATATTCACACATGAATTATTTATCGGCTGACTTTATACCCGCAAATATGGAAATATTTCATGTCTGGATTGAGTATTTCTATTTCATGTTGATATTATAGAACTAAGAAAGCCTACAATCTATTTTTTAGGTTAATATCTAGTGGATTAGTAATTAGAATTGCTTGATAAACAATTTTTCTTTTTTTTACTAGCTGTCAGCCACGATTCCGTCCGCGTAAATTTTTAATAAAATATTAGTGGATTTTTTTTGGTAAATTTACTAATATTTATTTTACCATTCCAACTAAGCTCTAGGCTTGTGCTAGGACATTTTTTACGACAATAGTCGAGTGGCGGGATTCGAACCCCCAGCCTCGTGATCGGAAATCCGTACCCTTAACCATTAGGCTATTGCCGATTAAAATAAATATAATTAGTAGCCTACGTGTTCTTCTAGACTATGTTCTATCATCATCATCATCATCATCGTCAGCTCACTATACGTCCCCACCGAGGGGCTCGGAGCCTACCCTAAGTTAAGGGTGTTCTATATATAAGCCAAATTTCATCGCGATCCGTTTCGTTGTTTGAAGCTATCAAACATCCATCCATTTAAACATTCGCATTTATAATATAAGTAAGTTATGACACTAAATATGAAAACAATGACAGAATCAATTTAAAATCCGCCATCTTGTAAGCGAAGTGACCTCGTTCAGAAGTTTGTAGCTTCATGGAATATGATATCTCGCTTCAGCTTTTAGACTTTGTATGAAATTTCAGTGCATTCAATACGGTGAAGATAAAAGGTTGATAGGTGACGTTTTGAAAGGTTGCTAGTGTAAATATAAATGTCGGATATTGAGATGTTAAGATGGAAGACGTTTGAACGATAAATACGTCGATGTTAGAGAAGTTTAATTAAATTGGAATATTAATTAATGTTCGAATTGAGTAGGCTAAGTCATTATTAAAACGCTTCTAAAATTTCTTTTATTATATAAAAATCTAGAACGCAACATTAACATAAGCTAGATACAGAAGTAGAGCACATATATTTGTATCAAAAGATACAAACTTTACGACGGCTCGCTTAACAAGCGTAGTCTTCGTAGGTACGTATCAGGGAGGCTCACTATGAGCGGAGTAATGCGCAATACCATTCTACTCCACGACCCTATCTATCCTATCGATACCCAAAATTGCAGAGTGACTTGCTGGATTTTTTTTAGTTATTATTTTATTTTTGTTTCTTAATATTTCTGGTATCCATTTCAAGAAGGTTCTCATCCTTGTCTTTGACGAGATTCGAACCCTGGACGACGTGTTCATATGTTCGTAATTCAACTATTACGCAATTGGAATTTCAAGCTGCTCCAAAGTTTGAATTGCATTATAGCAGAATATTCGTGTAATTTGAGGGCAACAAAAGCCTGGAATACCGCGCGCATTGCAGCGAGGACAATGGCAATTATATGGGCCGATACCTCATCGCCTTTTCATAATAGGACTCCCTCGGATTGCGTACTCGGTGTTGCCTGTATTATACATTAAAATCTGCCGGAATTATTAAATTCACGTCTTTTTGCCCCGATTTTCGAAATGTGAAAATGGAAGGATTTTACTTTAGCCTTTGTCTTGTAGTTTATCAAAACTGGAAAAGCAAAGATTTTTTATTGAATTACTATTGAAAGGGATGAAAATGTTAATGCTAAGTGCCATACTCAGCCACGTTACCACTAAGGAAGCTTCTTAACCCTTATTAGCCTAGAGTTTCAATTTTGATACCAATCTTTTAAACCGAATGTTCACATTACTATAAGTTTTTTAATAGGTTGGCTATTCCCTTTTTTACTGTTGTATAATATTCTTTCTAACGAAATTAAAAAAAAAAACAAATTTCATTGTTGTTTTATTTTATCAAGCAAACAGTAATATTAAAAATAAATCACTTTCGTATGTAAATCAGGTTACTAAGGGTTAAGTTATCATCAAAAGCAGATGCCAGCGTGTTGGTTACCTAGTTTCAAAAATTGTATGTTACAAAATTATCCTACGAAAATGAAACAGTGAAACCCAACTACATAATAGTACTAGCAAGCTACTAACATAACTTCAGTTGCTTAGTAGAAACAGCATTGCGGTGCGACTTGCAAACTCGTACAAAGCACATATCTGAACAAGACCTATAGGTACATATCTTCCCTTGAATATTTCTAGAGTTTAAACTATGCGAAATATTCAACTAAAGTGCAATATTACATTGATTTGAAATTCACTTTTCATTCGTCCCATTAACCGCCCCATACTCAGATCCTAGATTATTTAATTTGTATTTTATAATAATTTTTATTCGTGTCTTTTTTACAATTATCTGCTTTAACGTAAATTCACAGATAATAATATTATTTATAACCAATAATAAATATAGTATTTACATCGGTTTATTTGTAGTAAATCACATTCCGTGGTCGGACCATTGCCCAACAATGCGAAATATTCCGGCGCGATGAATTTTATTTGCTTTCCATTCATCCGCCGAATATTGTATTCAGTCTATTTTTATGCTACAGAACTAAAAAATTTGAAGCTAATACGACAATAATATTTAAGAAATAAGTAGGTAGAAGCAAGACTATATAGAAATATGAAGACAACTTTGGTTCGTAGCTTAAGTAAATAAATAAATATAAGAGAAACATAATAAATTCTTGTAATTTTATAACTATTTATTAATTCGATAATTATTTAAAAACCGCGATGATTAAAATTTTCTAATACTGCCATCTCTTGTTTGAGAGCGAAAATAAATTTGTTTTGATTCCTATGATAAGAATAGGTGGCGCTGTAAACAACTGATTTAAATTTTCTTCTAACATATTTAAAAACGTTTAACTTCTTCATTCGCAGTTTTTTGATTGAGATGCTTCACGTAAAAATGTTTTACGATACTAATTCAATAAATTAATAGAAAAAATTTCTTCAATCAGCAACAGTGCCACCTATAGGTGAGTAGCAATACTAACACGACACTTCGTTATCAACACAATCCTAAAATGTTTATCTCTGACGTAAAGATGGCGTTAACATTTAAGTTAAGTTTAATTGTTTCAAATGTTGATAACATTATAACGCAGGCAAAATAAACTTATTCGGTCAATGAGCCAAAATAATAATTTGACGAATTATACTTTTGGTGTTAAAAGCTAACTCTTAGTTAAGTAAACTAAATGTACTAAAAATACACATTTACTTATGTAACTGCTATTTTTTGCGAAAGTAAAAAGGCCTTTGTAGCCTTTTGTCCGTGTCAGGGGCGACCATTGGTTTGCCATTCCTGGCCTTAGTGGTTTAAATGTTAAGTGTCTCTCCAGAAAAGTTGTCAATTACCACATAAACCCTTATTTTTTTAAGCCATCAATATACGGGCGACGACACGCCGACTAAGCGGTAGTAAAGTACGTAAGTACGTAGCCGCAAAATACCCTTCTGTTAGTCGGGCAAAGAGAATCAAACTAAAACATTCCAAGTATTTCAAGACAGATATTGATTTTGAAGACAATTGTAAGTAAACGAGAACGCCCTTTCGAAATTATCGAATGAAGGATAACACCATTAATCCTCCTAAACGTTCGTCTTCGACTCATAAAACGCTTCGAAAGATCGAGGCTACGGCATCAGCGTTTTTTATAACCAAACAATTACGTCAATTTTATAAGTGTTCGACCGTTTTTAAATAGCAAATGAGTATATTCCTTTATTGCTGTTAACTAACGTCATTTTTAAGAAATTAGCTTACTTGAATGGCAAATGTCGATCGATTCATTTTATTCCAGGGTTATCGTTGGTTTCTGAGACAAAATCTCCGTTTAAACATATTGTTATATCTGTTTTGACAAAGGTAATGAGAGGGACAACGATATATTTAAATAATTTTTTATTTTAATAAGTCGTATGTATGGATGTATGTTACCATACACGTGTTGTGTATACATACTTCTGAAAAAGATACATACGTTTTTTTTATTAAAAAAAATGTCTCGAATCCGCTTGTCTCGTGGCTCCAAGTAATGGGATAGCGGACATTAAATCACGAGAGCCGTAGCAGTGATTATTATTTCGCAAACTTTGGGAATGGCTGTTTGAATCGTCGCCGCTTCTTCTAATCGCTTCTAGCAAATCGAATTTTAAAAGTGGGGTGAGCAGAACCAGTAATTATACTTAAAAATATTGTATATCTCCGAAAGAAAAAATATCCTTTACAATAATTGCCCAATGCATAAATTGGAACGACGTCCGACCGCTGCGTCCAAAGAGTATGCTACTTAGTGATTGCGTTTAACCGTGGATTTCTAAGAGCAAAATCTCTAAATAAAACTTATAGCCCTGTCATTATTTTATAAAAAAACAGGGATAATATGTTTTAAACGGAGTTTTGGTCTCAGAAAATCTACTAAGCAAGAGTTATCTTAGTTAATTTTTTACATACTTTTCAAATATAAAATTTTACCTTTAACAATTTTAAAATGTTTAACTGATTTTGATAATACTTTTGGCTGGTGGGATTATTTGGTTAAAGACTCGACCAAAAGCTAGTACATTAATTAATTACAATATTGTTTTCTAAATATAAAATTGCCTTTGAAGTCGTAAATTGTTATAACGCGAAGTGACATAAAATTGTTTTATTGTCGCACTGAACGTCTCGTTGCGACATTTTCTTTAATGTTTCATTTTATTGCTGTATACTGTAAATTGTTGCGTTTGAATTCTTTTCTTTAAAAGGTTGTTTACAATTAAAATATATATTTTTAAACTGGGATTCCGTCCGGGGTACGATGGAGTTGGAGAAACAGACATAATATTATCTTACTTCTTACTTATAAATGCGAACGTTTGGATGGAGGGATAAATCGATGGATGGATGTTTGTTGCAAGGTATCTACTGACCAATTCAACTGATCTCGATGAAATTTGGCATAGATGTAGAATTCCTTTTTATTTAATTCGGTTCGGTCGGAGTCGCGGGCAACAGTTCAATACTAGTATTGAATAAGTGTGTGTTTCTTAATCGTCATCCTTGTCATTACTTTTGAGGTAAAAGACGAAGATTTGATCTCAGAAACATAAGGTTAGTAGCCAAAATTTTTGTAGAGAACCCATGTCATGTTAGGTTAGGTTATTTTTTTTACTATGTAAATATATCTACAATATGAAATTCATTCAACACGACGAACTCTAAATTTCTTTATGACAAATAAAATAAATTATTATTTTATAGGCCATAAACGTTATCAAACTAATTAGTTAAATACTTTCTTTTGTATATAAATGTTTTGTTACACGTGTGTTCTCTCATTTCTTTTTTCTATTACCTAATAAATTTTTCATAAATTTTATAAAAATGAAATTTATATTAGTAATAATTTTAAATATATTATTTCACGTAAACTGTACATATGTGATTTCAGTTTACGGGGATGTACATAAAGATACGAAGTTCTTCACAAAGACTTACCCCTGGCTTATAGATAACATTGGTGGGGAGGTTGTGGTGGATTATTACTTGCTGGGCAGCGGCAGGTACACAGTGCCGCAGATGTGTGCTCTCAATGAATTGAGGCTTAACACATTCCTTCAGGCGCAGTTCCTGAAGTGTGAAGCTGAAGGTAATTTTATAGATTTTATAATTTCCTTTCGTGAATCACATCAAAATGCAACTGCAATGTGTGTTTGAAGTTGTGAAGTCAAGCAATCGACATTTTGTAAGATCTAGTCATCGTCATAGGTTGATGCTAGTTATTATCACTATAAAGGATGTTCAAGAAATAAAGTGAATCTGAATGTACATAGATTCCCAACTCAAATTAGGTCTAAATTATACAAAGTGTACAATGTAAACATATATACAAAGTGTACAATGTAAACATATATACAAAGTGTACAAGCTTAGCTAACTAATAAAATTTATTTCCACAGGTAATTCTAACGACGTATGCATATGTGATACTGGATTGGACACCGAAAGGTTGAGACATTGCATCATAACTAAAGGCTCTCTGGCAAGTTTCGCAGCTTCAAAGTACCACCAAATGGGCATAGATGCGAGTCCTGTTGTAGAAATCGGTCCCAGAAACACGATCTTCGAAGTCGAAGATAATTGGTATTTGAAGAAGATCTGTACAATATTTGGAGATAATCAACCAAGAGGATGTATCAAACCCTTTGCTTGTAATTATACAGATACTGAATACGATATGACTTGGTCCAATCATATTGACTGTACAAAATGTCACCATTATGATTCACCATTGGTGACGACAACGACATCTACATCTGCTGGTACAATATATACGTAACACCGTAGAATAAATACGATTTATTATTAATAATTTTATACATAAATATTAAATTTATATATAAATCATATCTTTATATGAGAAATACATATATATATATATATTGGAATATCGGAATCGGTTCCAACGATTTTCATAAAATTTAGTATATAGGGGGTTCCCGGGGCGATAAATCGATCTAGCTAGGAATCATTTTTAGAAAATGTCATTTTATTCGTATTTTATCGATAATAAACTTAAGCATAAACTTAACTTTTTCTATCGGTAAGATCGAAAAATATTATTCATACTTCATCATTTTATTAGTAATTCGTACTTAAATATAATTTCCAAAAAACACAATTAAAAACGGTCATCCAGGTACTATTAATAAACAAAGTATTACATCCAACGTAACTATAATAGCTAGTTTTTTTATTACATTTTGTACAGCTTGTATACATTATACGAGTTATACATTTTGTACAATATAGAACGTATATTTACAATCACTTGTCAGTGTTTACAACGGACTTGTACAGTTAATACCAAGACTCGTAGATCTTGCTTTACCGCTAATTAGTTAAATTGTTATTGATTTATTCTAATTTAGTAGCCTTAGTGACTGGTAGGAAGCAAAATTTCACACAGATCACAATAGTACTGACATTCACGAATAATATTACTCCTCTAGCAATAAAAACGTTTTCAAAACAAAGTCGAAGCCTTTTCCTGGAGTGAAGCGAAAAGCAACGACGTTAGGAAAACATCAAACGAATGTTTTGACCCAATTCTATATTAACAATCCGAAACGAAAGATTCTATTGTGTTACAGAAATCGCTTTCTAAGCTATTGTCGATGATTATACTACTTTTCAAATTATATACCGACGAAGTTATTTGACCCGGCGAGCAAAAGTAACACTAAATTACAATAGCTCTGAATTCACTTCAGATTAATGTCAATAAAGTATCACAAGTTCCTTGTCGTACTGTAAATGTTCTCGTATCTTGTTTTGCGTGTTATTTTCTATGTCGTAGTTTTTACATGTCGGAAAGAATTGACCGTATTACTGGGCCAGATAAATTTGTCATACAACACCTACTCTTTTCTGACTCTACTCTGATGACATTTACCACTTGAAAACAGAAAAATGAATGCTTGAATTAATGGAAGTTTGTTATAGGGTATCTCCAGGAAGGCTGCATGAATCTCGTTGAATTTTGGCATAGATGTAGAACATTGTTTGGAAGAACACATAGGCTACTAATAAAGTTGTTCTTAATCCCACGTGGACGTAGTCACGGGCGAGAGCTAGTAAAAATAAAAAACAATAGAGCCGACAATATGTCAAATTACGCCTGTCAGACGCAGTTCGCTGTCGCTCAGTAGTGCCAACTGTTACGACGCGTCTATGATCAATGAGGCGAATACATAAACATTCACACCCCACACATAATAGGGTACATCACATAGTTACTCATTCCTAATTATGACGCTAGAACACATTTATAAATATTTGATATGTTAGTAATATTTTAAGTACGAAAGTTTAGACGGATCGATGGTTATTTGTTAGACGGGTCCCCGGAACGGATCTTGACGAAATTGCACAAATGTAGATTATTGTCTAGAAGAACACATAGGCTACTTATAAAGTTTGTTTTAATACTGTGCGCTAGTAGACAGAGATTACATGATTACACATTAGGCAAGCTCCCGGCAAAAAGAGTTACATCTTTTATGAACACTTGAGATGTAACTTTTTACGACGGATGGTTCGGTTGGTCGTCAATGAGCTGGTTTACCTGTAATAATATTTTGTTTATGAAAATAATAAGCGGTAAATCATTTCCTTTTAATAACGACCTTGTTATAAATCAGCGAAATGTACGAAATTCTTAGCTCTAATAATTTTATTAAACGATTCCGTCGCCCTGTGATCGCGGAGGCGTTGCTCGAGATTTCAATTTGGTTGATTATTTTAGTAATGCTTCACGGCCCTTTCTTTTGCACCGAATATTATTACGAACTTTTTTAATTTAAATAATCCGGAAATCGTTCAAATCACTTTGAAGATAAGGAAAAAAAACATATAAAAAAAATTGATTTACTTTCAAGTGTGAAGATTTCGAATTTTTATTCCAAGTATTATTAGGGTTTGGTCAGTCTGGTTTGGCTTTTGAATTTTCTTGTTTGTTTGGATCATCATCATCATCAGCTCACTGCACGTCCCCACCGATGGGCTCGGAGCCTACCCTAAGTTAAGGGTGATTAGGCCATAGTCAACCACGCTGGCCAAGTGCGGGTTGGTTGGCTTCACACATATCTTTGAATTTCTTCTCAGATATGTGCAGGTTACATCACGATGTTTTCCTTCACCGTAAGAACGTCGGATAAATGTACATATGTAAATCGGAAATCGAAAAACACATTGGTACATGGCGGGATTCGAACCCAGGACCTGCAGATTGCAAGTCAAGTGCTTGACCACTGAGCCACCGACGCTCCGCTGTTTGGATAATGATACGTATTATAAACTAAATAAGAATATATTTTTGTATAATACATGCGTGCGATAGAGACATAATCTCAGCTAACCACGAGCTATCATACATTTTGAATCTTAGTATACATCTATGTTTCTAAATTCTAGGGTTTAATAATTTATCACAAATTATAATTAGTCTTGAAAGTTAATTTATATGTCTATTGTTATTTGTTCGGATGTTAAATTAAATTATCCTAGGTCGTAGATAAACATTATTTATAACTAAACTATAATTACAACGGACGCCGGTCGCGCGGGATATTAAAACTAAATTAGCAAACTTTTGTGTCATATTAAATTATTAAAACTAACTTAGTTATAATCTAAACTAAATTGTAAACTTGCCTTCAAACTCTCTATACTATATCGTTATTTTAATTTTATGTAAAAACTACTAGCTGTCTTTATAAAAAAACTTAATTAGCCTATGTGTTATTCCAGACTATGTTCTACATCTATGCCAAATTTCAACGAGATCCGTGCAGCCGTTCTCGAGATACCTTTAAGCAAACATCCATCCATTCCTTCGCATATATTAGTAAGAAGTAAGACAAGTATGAGATTTTTGTTGTACTTTAGTTTTTATAGGTGTCGTCAATTTATAAAGATTTGAAAGTTTTCTCCCCTCTTTGTCTGTAAAAAATTTCTATCTTTTACGTCACGAATCTAAATATTACGGATTTTTTAATGTTTTCTATTTTCTAGTATTTTTTTTTAAAGAGAAAGGGGCAAACGGGTATCGAATCGCCTAAGATCATTTGATCAGACGCCCATGGATATCCGCTACGCTGTAACCGCAGATGCAATGTCGACCTTTCTAGTAATTAATTATTTCTTCTATAAAAACAATTTATTTTTATTGACAGTACATAGATAGTACACGAAATATTTAAAATAAAATAGATCAATGATTTTTGAAAAGCTTTCCATAAAAGCTTTGTCTATTATCATGCATACAAGCGATAAAAAAGCTATAAAATTTTAACAAAATTTTCTCAGCAATTTCCTGTCATGTTCCGTTATAAAAAGAATATATAAATATATTTCATTCATAGTCCGAATTGAATGTAACTATTATAATTTAAAGTACTGTTCCATTAGCAAGTCGATTTATTTTTCCATCCGAGAGTAGCTTTTGTTAAAATCATTTGACACAAAAATAAATTCCAGCTTGATACCTTCATGCGTTTTGAGAAAAAGTGTCTTGACCGATAGACGGAGGGACAACAAATACAACAAAGTGATCCTATAAGGGTTCCGTTTTTTTTCCTATGAGGTACGGAACCCTAAAAATGTATTTATATTTTTAGCCGATTTCAAATAGAAGGAGGTTACCAATTCGTCTATACTTTTTATGGGTGTAACCGCATAATTAAACACCAACGTCTATCGCTTTGGTAAATCGTTAGTTTTGGAGTTCAAATTGTCTATATCAAATTTATCTCTCATTATCTCGTTAAAAACAAATACATAGTTTATTTTTACAACCAGATTTTATTTAATAATAATATTATTAGATATTTGCTAATCTATACTGTAAGGGAGATAATCCGACACTGTGCCGGTGTACTGGTGCAATACTAGCCTTACTAAAATGTCGACGACTATATCCCCTCACTTATCATTTTGATATTTTGACTTTGTAATGAAAGCGCGTCATTCGTGCCAAAGGATTGTAACTAATAATGTCTAAAATTACTTATGTTATAAAGAGAAGAAATTGATTGTTTATTTGTATTGAATCGTATCGGAAACTATTGAACCGATTTGGAAAATTAATACACAAATAGGAAGCTATGCTATCCCCGGGTGATATGGGTTTTATTTATAACTATGTTTTTTTAATTCCACGCGGTCGAAGTCGCGGGTAAGTGCTAGTTTACTATTATTACTAGTATCAATTTCAGGAAAGCTTGAAGCTTGTGCTACGATAAGATTCAAGGCAATAATCTAATGGCGAAATTCGAACCCACGACTACTTAATCAGTAGCTCGTGCCTTTAACTATTAGTCTATTGGCGCTTTATGGCAGTAAAGTCTTCGAGACCTAAGGCTTTTAGTATTGTTTTATTTTAATTGATTTTTTCCTTTTAAGGTTTTATATGTACATTAGGACTGCAAATGGACATTTCTCGAATCACTTCGAAGCTTCGTTAAAAGCTACTAAGATAGAATTTACGACGTCGTTTGAGTGCTTCTGGTCTACTTGTTATATTGTGTTGCTACGCACTTTTAATTCTTATCAAAAACTATAGTTTTTAATACTACAAGAGTAATGAGATTGAATATCATGACGCAAAAGGTAACAAGACCAAAACAAAATACGAATTATTTAAAAGAGGAAATGCCTTTAAAGGGAATGATTTTTTTAATTCTAAGCTGGCAAACGAGCAAACGGTTATCTGAATTAGCCGAAATAACAAAGCGACCGCTGCCCATAAACATAAGCAATTGCGGATGTGTTGACTATCTTTAATTGACAGAGGAAAGGACTATTCCCTTTTCCACACATCATCCCGCTAAATACACTACGCCTTCTTATCTCTTCCTAACAAGAAAAGGGTGGAAAAGGAAAGAGGACTAAAATTAGGCCCCCGGCACGCACATTCAACAGACATTACGCGGAATTGCCGCCTGTCTTCTGTGTGGTCGTGGTATTGTACCCAAGTCGTGCTACAGATGTTGAGGGCTCTACCACCGTTAAGTATGACATAACATAATAGAATTTAATATGACGGCTGATAGAGATGTAAGGATGGCATACAAACATATCTTAATGTAGAAGTTGATAGGATTAGCTACATATTGCGCAATAAATACAATTAACATACAATAATGTAACCACTTAGAACAGGGAATCGCACAGAGTATAGAATGTAACAGAGGGGTCGCGAAAACAATAGACAGTCGAGTGCACTCGTACAGGAGCACGACGCGTATGCGACAGACATTTCATCCGTAGCGTAGTGGAAACCGCGGCTTTTAATTGTTCGTAACATCTATAGAGTTGTAATAACGATTTGTTTGTTTATGACTTTTAATGCATACAGTTGTCTACAAATTAGTGTTGAATGAAAGACTCTACTGATTTTGTTAACCATACTAGTTGTCGCCTGCGACTACGTTTGTGCAGGAATAATAAAAAACTTAAATGTAGCTTCTGCATTGCAGATTAGGTTTACGTCTTTACCGTATTTCGGCGAGATAAAATGAGCCTTTTGGAAATAATTTTCATTAAAAAAAACTTCCGTTAATACATCAAAACCTTCGCAATTGTAATATTAGTAAGTTTACTTATAGCCAATTTATACGTACTTTACAAGGTCTATATTAATATACAGTATAAAATATGGTTATTTCAGCTCTATAGATATATTAAAGTAGTCGCTAACTACCTTCCCCTTATCTGATCGAAACAGTTTGCAACTGATACTCACCGCATTGCTGGAATGCACCAAAAGCTTATTTTGTTGTTACTAAAATGTATATGTAAATTACGAATGGATAATGAAATTCAATTTACAATGGCTTTTATTCCACTAACCGTGGGTTTCTGAAACCAAAATCTATGTAAGTATAATATATGTCATCCCTGTCTTTCAACTTTAAAAAAACAGAGATGGCAAAATGTTTTAAACGGTTATTTTGATGTCGGAAACCCATGGTAATAGAGCAAGAATATTATGATTTATGTTATGCTACTAAGTTTAAAGCTAAATTTCATCGAGCTCCGATCAGACATTCTGAAGATACCTTCAAACAAACATCCATCCAAATATTCACGTTTATAATATTAATAATTTAATTCCGCGCAGATGGAGTCGCGGGCCACAGCTAGTGTCGTACAGTAACACGCAGTGGTATTTCATGGTAACGATGTTCTTCAGATTTTGGCTTTTTTATGCAGTGTTTGTGTTTTATTTCATTTCCTACAGTAACTAGCACTTGACTTGAGGAGTGCAAGGGAACCTCAATTTAACTTTTGTAGACAAACTGAAGAGTCGCAATTTTTTGTTAAGAATACTTCAGTTACCAAATAAAAATATTCCACGTTACTAACCAAGACTGAAAGCGTCGTTGGCTCAGTGGTCAAGCACTTGTCTTGCAATCTGCAGGTCCCGGGTTCGAATCCCGCCATGTAACAATGTGTTTTTCGATTTGCGATTTACATATGTACATTTATCCGACGTTCGTACGGTGAATGACAACATCGTGATGCAACTTGCACATATCTGAGGAGAACCCGCCATTGGCCAGCGTGGTTGACTATGGCCTAATCACCCCTAACTTAGGGTAGACTTAGAGCCCCTCGGTGGGGACGTATAGTGAGCTGATGATAAACCAAGACTTACAGTTTGGGAATACACTGATTTGTCGGAGAGGGGAAATGATATCATTCTGTACGTCCTCTCCTATATTCTAAAGACATCTGTTTGTTGCTGTTATATGGGAAGTGGTGACTTCGCTATTATAGCGAAATCAGGAGACCTTTTTTCACCTTTTACTATTAATAATATTCTTTGTCTTACTACTATAAAAGTCTGCAGCAGACGACAATACCTTAAATATTTTTTATTACATTTTTTTTTCATTGATAAATTCCACGTGTTTTTACTCATTATAATAATATCTTATGAAGGTTATTAGATATTCCGTGGAATGTAAATTGGAAAAGTTTCTCTATAAAATGACAATAATAAGCTTTAAACTATGTAGCCAATAGGAAGGGGATTTCTCTTACAAAGTAAATAATTCGAAAAGTAGTGCTCCGATATTTATTGCCCACGTAACTTGCAAACTTTCCTGTACACTGAGCGAAGGAGGAGAAAGGTTAAATAAGGGATGTGATACACGGGACAGCTACGAGTAATGGGAGTGTTGTGCAGAATTTTTTAGCGCCGACAGCGCCGACATTAGGCCGATAGCTTAAAACTGTCCGTGTACGGCGACCTTTAAAAGTGGCAACTTTCAAGAAGCGAGAACAATGAAAGCAACTTATATATTGCTTCGTATAGCCCCTAACTATTCAAAGTTTAGCAATAAATTTAAATGTGAATATGTCGTTTAAAGAAAGGAAGAGGAAGCGAGCGACGAGTTTGGAATAAAATTGGACGTCTATCACACCGTGACGTAATTTTAAATATAATTTGTGATAGAACGTTATTTACATCACAGAAATGCTTCGATCACGAATCAGGCTGTGTTTTAACTGCTCAGTTGGAATTGGTCGACAAACATTAAAAAAGTTAGTATTTATTATAGATAAGTACTAGATATGATTGTTACAACCGTTCTTTTAATTTGAATTTGGAGGCTATATCATACAACTTACAAATGTTATAAATGCCAAAGTTTACATGGAATTATGGATGTTTGTTCATGTATACTCCATAACAAATAGGCTAATAATTAAGTTTTTTTTTAATTACGCGCGGACGAAGTCGCGACAAAAGGTAGTTTGAAATAATTTTGGGTCAATTCTAAAAAAAAACTATGGAAATCAATGAATAGAATTGACACCGATTTGTTAAATACTTATTTAAAGGATGTTGATTTAAAAAAATCCTACTGTATAAAAAAATAATAATTCGATTTTAATATTATAAGACGTCGGTGTGATCAACAGCCGTTTTGAGATAAAGCGCAGCAAAATTGTTTTCATCGCAGCGAGCCCAAAACTTATCCTTCACACTAATGCTTTAATAACTTTCACATTTATTACTTTTCTAAAGTCGTAAATTATTAATTTTACAATGTTATTTATAAAGAATGAACCGTATAATATTGGATGAACTTTAAAAGAAACCAGCATTCGATACAGGAGGTTGTTGAAGTGACAATTTTATTTAAAAACAAAATTCCTGGAACTTGATCTATTTACTACGGAAGACTTGGTTTTGCGCAACCCACTTAAAAATCACAGCCGTAACGTGTGTTTACCTAATGCATTGTTAGAAGAATATGAAAAGAGAATTTTAATGAGCTTTGCATTCATTGAGAAGAAAAATTCTTTAAACCAAGATAAAGGCATGTTCAAACCAAGCATCCGATTGTTTTTTATTGTGTTATAAGGTGGAAAACGAACAAGCGCCCACATGAATTCGTCGAAATAGAGAAGCGATCGCTGCTTAGACAGACTTACCTACCTTTAATCGACAGAGGAAGGGACGTACAGGAAGATTTCTCCTTTCTATGCCTTCCTTCTTCCGTTAAATCCACTTCTCCTTCACATTCTTTCGTTATGAGAGAAGGGTGGGAAGGTAAAGTAGACCAAAATTTCTCCGACACGCACATTCAATAGACGAAATGACGCCGGCCTTCTGTGTAGCATTGCATCGGACAAAATGGCCATTCGTGTAAGATATTATGTTGCTTGGTGAGCTCATAATCGGTAGCTGATACGTACGATCTGAACGTAACCTACGTAAGTATTGTAACTATTTTTATACATTAAGCTAATATTTATTTTAAAACAAAAACACTTGGCCTCTTTTATTTCGCTGCCTTGTTAAAGAAATAACAAACGTGAAAAGAAAATGTAAAGGAAAGAAAAATAAAAAGGTAAAAGCCTCATTTGTTGGGCGGAAGGAAATTCCTGTTTTTTATTATATTCAAAGATTTTGTTTAACAGTATTTTAGTGTTAGTAAACAATAGTTTAAAAATTGTATTATATTTTTAATAATGAACATTCAATTTTGATTAATAGATGGCGTTAGTAATAGTTCATATTTGATGTAATTAATAGTCCTTCGAGCCGGACATTTTCCACCACAAATTAAATTTGTTGCGTACTGGACGATAATACGGAGATGTTAACATTTTAAAAGGACTACAACTCAATAATATATTATATTCTATAACTGCATCTTGTTTTGTTGGAAATTTTTTTTTTTGATTTCAGATAATTTCAATTATGGTACTGTTTAGCTGATATTTAGTAACACTTATGATATTTTACTAATGTTATTAATGCGAATGTTTGAATGTATGGATAGATGTTTTTTTACAAGGTGTACAGAGCGGCTTCATGGGCTTAACTGAAAATTGACACAAAGGTAGTACGTAGCCTGGAAGAACTCACAGGTTAATTTTGATTTTTTTAACTCATCGCGGACGAAGTCACTGTTGATAATTATCTTACTAAAATCCAATTAAATTTGTTATTTCCATTTATCACTGTTTTAAGCGTAGGATAATTTATATATCTAAAAAGATAAGATTATACATTTGGTGAGTGTTGTGAAATTATATCAATCGTATAACGTGTTTTGAAAAAATGATGCGATTTAAATTAATTATATTTCTTTCTATATTAAATATTCTAATATTAACAATTAATGCAAAAAATGAAGAGTATATTGGGTATGTATTATATTAATACTAGCCATTGATCGCAACTTTAAAAAAAGCTCAGCGTAAAATAAAAAAAAGCTTACTAAGTAGCCTATGTGTTTTTCCAGACTATGTTCTACATCTATGCCAAATTTCAGCAATATCCATACAACCGTTCTCGAGATACCTTCAAACTAACATCCATCCATCTAAACATTCGCATTTATAATATTAAGATGTGAAACTAAAAAAAGGCAGTATCGCTGCGGCACATCTAAACATGTTATTCTTTGAACAATCCTTTATAAAAGTTAATTAAATAGACATTCATTATTATATATTCTTTTCAGTTATAAAGTATATAATGTGAAATTAAATAGCACAGAACAAGAAGATAATTTTTATAGAATTAAAAATGATTTTATTGATTATTGGCGCAAACCTTCGTTTAAATATAATACCATAGGACATGCTATGGTTCCTCCCGCACAGGCGACATGTTTCGAAGAAAGACTTGATGAACTTGGTCTAGCTAAAGATATTTACATTGACGATGTTTACAAGTAAGTTGATTCACAGTATTTAAAAAAAAGTTTTTTTTCTTATACAGCGTGTCCTAAAATTCAAAACTACTAAAAATCCATCGCTTTAAAAAATTCTTGTGTCAATATAGTTATTACCATACTTCGAAACGGCTTGATTTTTGTAATTTTTTTTACTTTTTTTTTATTTAGTAGGTTTAAGATTCGGTTACTATCTATTTCTAAATCTCGCGCAGAGTTAAGGGCGACAGCTAGTATTTATATACAATTCTTCAATACCTATTTTTTAATAATTCAATAAAATACTATGATTTTTGAGTTTTGTCACTTGACGTTAAGGCCACCATGTAAGCTCAGTTTTTGATGAATCCCACGTGATATTATCAAATATTTCTACCGAAAATTATTTATCCAAAACCTCCTTACAGCGTGGTATGTTAAACTAATGTATTTATCTAATCTCGTGATTACATATATCTTTTGATAAAACTTATGATATAAAGAAGTTTTCTCACTGCTTTGAAGCTGTTTATATCATACTGGCTATATTAGAATTAAAAAAAAATAATTAGTAGTTGTAGCGTTATGTTTGACTCGTTCACGTACAGACACGTGCTACCGGTCCAAAGGTCTAACATCGACTGACGGGTCGTCTCTCTCCGGCATGTACTTAAAACGTGTTCGCTCGAGACTAACAACACTACATTTATGCATACACTACAGTAGCCTATGTATTCCTCCAGACCATGTTCTACATCTAAGGCTAATTTCCTAAAAAATAAATAAAATAAAAAGTAAAAATACCTTCTAACAAACATCCAAACATTCGCATTTATAATATTAGTAAGATTGCATTCTATGGCTTCTAATAATATTGTGCCAGTTTGATGTCGAAACATATTATACTTCCATCTCTTTTCACAACCTACGATATGACACTGTTAGACAAAGACCTCTAACTAAATAATGAATATGCAATAGTCTTTTTAATGATAATAACAGTTAAAATAATTGTAACAACGTTCGGACGTGTTCCAGGTACCTATTAGCGAGAGAGGAAACTTCTATGGATATATCAAGGAGTGATAACACATTTAGCTTTAACGATTACTATCGTTATTCACAGGTAAGTTTTCATCATATATTATTTTAAATCTTAACTTTCTGAACAACCACAGTAACAAATGTACGTACTTGTTGATAAAACCGGCTCTTTATTATCAGAATTCATAACTACTAGCGCCATCTATTATCTTTAAAAATCACCGTATTAAATTACAACGCCATCTATTGCTTTATTTTCAAAGATACCGTAAACTTGATACTTTTTACTAATATTATAAATCCCAATGTTTGGATGGATGGATGTTTGTTACAAGGTACCTCCAAAACGGCTACATGCTGTAATTAAGCATAGATAAAAACATAGTCTGGAAGAAAACATAGGCTAATCAAGTTCATTTTTAATTACAGGCGGACGCAGTCTTGTGAGGCAGCTAGCACTAAAATAATTTGCAATTAATTTGATATTATTACTTGTTTCAGATATTAGATTACATCAGAACACTTGAAGCAACATACGAAAATTCAACGAACATAAACTTAAGTGTAATAGAAGCCGGAACAACCGCTGAAGGAAGACCTTTAGTATACATTAAATTAACAAACCAAACTCCAATGATGAACAAACGTATTATAATTATAGAAGCAGGAATCAATCCAAGACAATGGATTACTATCCCATCATCACTGAATATTATCCATAGGTTAAAAGACAGTAATAATACTAGATTACTTAATGATTTCGAATGGATATTCATTCCTGTATTAAATCCTGATGGATATGAGTATACCCATACAAATGTAAGTATTAATCTTACTAATAAATGCGAATGTTTAGATGGATGGATGTTTGTTAGAAGGTATCTCCAGACCTGCATGGATCTCGCTGAAATGTGACATAGATGTAGAACATAGGCTACTAATTAAGAAGTTGAAGAAGATGAAGTCATGGTCATCATTAAAATCAATATAAGTGAAGTGCCTAAGCTAATTGATACTATACATAGCAATAATTAACATCGAAAATAAATAGAATTAAAATGTTAAATTAAATTGTTAAATAATGTTTATCATATGTAGATAGAGCGTCGGTGGCTCAGGGATTTAGGCACTTGACTTATAATCTATAGGTCCTGGGTTCGAATCCCATCATGTACCAATGTGTTTTCGATTGACATATGTACATTTGTCTGATGTTCTTACGGAGAAGGAAAACATCGTGATGTAACCTGCACATATCTGAGAACAAAATATAAAAGATATGTGTGAAGTCAACCAACCCGCACAGGGCCAGCGTGGTTGACTATGGCCTAGTCACCCCTAACTTAGGGTAGGTTCCGAACCCCTCAATGCGGACGTATAGTGAGCTGATGATCTGTAGATTACAATAATGAGATCATTCAAAATGCTTTTAAAATTTCAATCTTCACTGTGGTGTATCTTAGTAAAAAAAACTGTTTTTAACATCGGAAAAGGGACCTAAAAGATCTTTTAATTCAATAACAATTTTACCAAATCAAAAACAGTACTTCGTTATAGACGTTATAGATTAAATAGATGACTAATAATCTTCCTAATTTTCAGCTACGTTTATGGACAAAATCAAGAAGTGCAAGCAGTAATTTAGGCGCTATATGTCCTGGTGTGAATATAAATCGTAACTTCAATATCGATTGGCTTAATTCAGACTCAAGTTCTAGTCCATGCAGCCATCTATACGGTGGTATTGAGTCATTTTCAGAAGTCGAAAGCCGTTTAATACAATCATTATTAGAAGAATATGGAAACAGAACGAGTGCTTATATTTCGTTACAAAACAATGGTGGTTTTATATCATATCCTTGGCAATATGAAAGAGCAGCTAGTGGATTGTTTGCACAACATCATATTTTAGGAATGAAAATGATCGAAGCTATGGTTGATAATTACGAATTGGATATAGCATCGGTGGCTTACGGAGATAGAGCGTCAGGAACAAGTACAGATTATATGAGATATAATGGAGTACTTTATACGTTTAATATAGATGTTGTACCAAGAGGTCAGGAAGGTGTTGTTGTGCCTAGAGAAGAAATACAAATCATAGCTGACGATGTATGGAGAGCTGTATCAGTTCTTGCTGAAAATTTGTTATAAT